AAATCCGTCGCTGATATCCGTCGCTGATCCGTCGCTGATAGCATTACCTACGACTAATTGATCGACGGAGTATCAGCGACGGATCAGCGACGGATTGACTTTCAGCGACGGATTTGCGAGGGATTTTTCCGTCGCTGATAGTCTGCATTTTTGTAGTGTCCCCTGCTTTTTCATGTGGGTCTACCTTCCCTTGTTCCTTCTACTTTTTTAATCAAAACACTATTTATTGCATCTTACGTTTCTATAACTATATTTATTTAATTCATCCATATAAATGATTGGCATGAGTGGGAATAACATTGGACCACGAAAAAATACATCTTAACTTTAATTACTTGCATTATATTACGTAACTTGCTTAAATTAAACAAGTATGACATTATTAATTAATATGGTTTTAAGAGGATATATATATATACATATATATATATATATGTATGTAGGTGAGAGATTCTGTAATAATGAAAGTTAAAGTGAGAAGCGTAAGAAAGTATATGGACCTTTGATTACTTCATACTCACCCATGAATCATGCTTCATATGAGGATTGCTCTGGTGCATCTTTCATCTTAATATGCATCAAAGGGTGGAGATATGTGCTTACGCTTCTCACCAAAATCCAACTATATATATATATGTTGATTAATATTCATTTTGATGATGTAATCATGGTTTTAAATGGTATGAGTCGGACGTAACGATAAGGTCAAGCCTCGAGTTTTAGCTAGAAGCTGCGGTGAAATCATGACATTATTTAATGTGTGACTTAATTATGAAGACAAAACCACACATAGAGCCATTGTGAGTCATTAGCTTAGCAATATAGCATGGAGTCGAAAACAAAGTCATGGCATGATATGTTGATTGTCATAACAAGCCTTTTAAAATATTGAGTAAAAATATAATAATGAATTTATCTGTTTTGATATAATTAATTTGTGTGACTGGAGTTTATTTAATTTTTCCGATCGAAAACATAAATTTTTTACACAAACTACAATGAATATATGGTTTAATGTCCATCTTTTTCGATCATAATCAACTATATGAGATGTCTAATTGTAGTCTCTTAAGTTGCTTTCCTTTGGTATAGCATGGTCCCTTTTCTATTCCATATATACTTTCAATTCTTATCTATTATATATATAAGATACGATATGATGTCGGCAAATATTTGTTCAAACTTAAATACAATTAACAATTCAATAATTAAATATATAAACATACATATATATATAATATATATATATATATGTGTGTGTGTGTGAGAGAGAGAGAGAGACATTCCGTTGTACAATAATCGAGAGGTCATATATTTTACAAAGAAACATACTAGTACAAAAATTCTTTAGAAATATATAATAATTTATGCTAGAAATAATATTTGATCCCTCATCACTAACCTGCAAGATAAGCTAGCCCTTAACTCTAAAAAAGGGTAGGGCTGTGCATGGGTGATTTAATTAATTAATATATATATATATATATATATAAATAAATATATATATAGATATATATAATTAACAAGCTGCCGACGAGCTGGTAGTGAAAGGATTAAGAAAATGTGGTTTAGGAGGCATGGTAAAAGGGGTTTTGGGATTGGGCATGTGTTCATATGACGGACACATGCTGAGGGTGGCCGCCGGCAACTGCATGTACACGGTTTGCGACGTCGTCGACACCTTTTCTGCTTTCAGTTCTTCAACTTCTTGCCGGAGTCTTCTGTTCTCATCCTTTAATGTGTCACAACATTTCTTTAAGTAGTCGCACTCCACCTCCGTTTGTTTCAGTTTCGTCCTTTAATTATTTATAATCAACACACCATTCAAAACCAAACTAATTAAATGATTTTATTACACATATTTTATTTCAGAAAAATATATGGAAATTAATAATACCTGGCTCTCCTGTTCTGGAACCAAACTTCAACTTGTCTGGGCTTTAGCTTTAGGTCCTTGGCTAGCTCTTGCTTTTGTTTCTGCTAATAATTAATCAACGCCAATCTCTGTTAGGTCTAATTATAGAAATACAAGTATTTGATTGATAAATCTTTTTTATTCGGTTTAGGAACCAAAAATCGACAACAAAGAAGCGATAATGAAAGAGATAAAAGTATAGTAATTACAGGGTTCAAATTGGTATGAAGTTTGAAGGCTTCTTCAAGTAGTCCAGATTGAGCTTTAGTTAACCTGAGTTTCTTTCTACCACTGACACTCCCATCTTCATCTTCTTGATCAGTACCACTTGTGTTCACCCTTTCGGATTCTTCACTTGCAACTTCTCTCTCCCTTTTGACGCTCGCGTTAGAGAATGATGAACCACCACACGAATCGCCGGAAAGCGCCAAGGTTAGAGATGGGTGATGATGATGATGGGTGGTGGGGTTTGATATCTTGGAAGGGTTTTGGGGAATGGAAGCTGACGATGATGAGTTAAGGCCTAGTTCTAGTACAAGTTGAGTGTTGGCAGCAAAACTATGGAAACCCATTTCAATCTTTAGGTTTGAAAATATGTGGGAAATGAAATGAGTATGAATATGAAGGAGAGGATATAAGAAAGAATTGGTGGTTATGATTATTAATACCCAAATAAATGAATGGTCGCTAGAAAAAGGAATATGGTGTATGTGGTAAAGAAACATAATTAAATATACAAAAAGAGACATAAAGCTCAATTCTCTATCGACATGCATGTAGTTGGTTTTCATTTCTTTTATCTTAAATATTCTTAATTAATTAAGGAGTGGTTAATTGTTTATAATTTAAATTTTATTTATAAATATAAAATAAAATATGAAAGAAGTTAGACATACTTAATAACTAGCTATATTTGCGTATTGTAAAGATGACGAACAAATTAGGAAACTTCGACGTTACTCTTTTGTGTGATAATGATGCATATCAAAGGATAAAACACTTTCGGTACCATGCCTCATCAGAATGATGAACACATTGAATTTCAATGCGAGACTTCAATCAATCACTTCAAATCTTGAAAATCGATATATTTTTTATCTGATATTTGTTTGGTTTATTTGATACACTGAATGTAAAAATTAAAATGACATTTTGCTTTATAGAGATACACACATTTCTCATGTGAAAAAAATCTAATAAATGCTATCTTTTAATTATGAAAATAATTTTTTTAACTTAAAAAAGAACTAATCATTATTGTTTTGAATATAGAAAAACATATTATTATACTAAAGTTTAATAATAATATTTGATTTTTTTGTTGTGTCACAGTATTCTTTTATAAACTTATTTGTTTCATACAACAAATTATATGTTATTGATGTCAATATCATATTACCTTTTTGTCATGTCATATTATATTTTAATATCCCTGTTGTTTCTACATGACTCCTTGGGAGCTCTAAGCGTTTATTTTCTATATTTTTCTTTTTTGTTTTTTTAACCTATTGTACCTTGGAGTCTCAATTGGTTTCCTGGTATACTTGTTTTAGGTATTTCTGCTACTTTTCAAAAAGAACAAGAAAACCAACATGCAAATTTTTTTTAATTACCTTAAAATCAACGTCATCATGATGGATATTATAACTCATTTTACTGTTATGTCTCCCTTGAAAAACGTACTTAAATGCAATGCTACGTGTATGCAGATACATCTTTAATTGCTTGTACAAAAATATAGGAGTTGCGTATGAAATCTGATATATTATATTGTCTCTTTATTTGAAATGGATGTTGAGTCAAAGAGAAAAGCGAATAAAATAAAATCAAAATTCCAAATAGTGGGAGACCATAAGAAATGTCCCTTTTGTACTCACTTTGGTCCAATTTTGTGGAGATAGTGTTCATATTATCTTGCTGACTTTCATAAATGGAGAGGCAGTGAGGATGATAGATATACATGTCCCCATTTCTGAATGTGGGGTAGGACATCATGTACCATGCTATAGTGTTTTTTAGGTTTTCTTATTTAATGTATTCATAAATTTACGGGCAAAATACATAAAATAGCAATCTACTTTTATTCATTTTTTTATTATAGCATTGTACTTTCAGTTTTTCTTATTACAACAATGTACTTTCAAACTATTTTTTATTAAGACATTGTACTTTGAAAAATTTACCCATTATAGCATTRGGTAACCTTTTGATTTAAATTTACCCATTATACTAGGTTTTCATGACACCTCATTGTCCACATAGGCTGTCCACATGTACTATAGTGATGTGACTTTCTTTACTACATCATTGTACTTTCAAAATTATTTTTATTATAGCATCTATTAGTTCTTATTAAACACTGTATTTTTACTTTTAATATTTAGATATTTTACATGTTATTTAATAAATGTATTAAATGAATTAAAAAAATTCTAAATTATTCATTAATATACCAATATCAATAAAACTAGTAGAAAACAACTTATCTCGCTAACATTTTTTAAAAATATGCATTTTTTGAAAAAAGGGAAATAAGAATTGTTCATTTTTTACCAAAAAAATATTATCTTTTAAAGAATATATTATATTTGTTCAAAAACTTTTTACTTGACGTATAAATATATTAAATTAATTAGACTTTTTTGAATTATTTATTAATATAACAATATTAAAAAATTGTAGATAACAATTTATTTCGTCAATATTTTAAAGAGAACTTTAAAAGATATGTATTTATTTGAACAACATAAAATACGAAAAATTACTTTTTTTACAAACAAAATATATCTTGAATATAATGTTTCATATTTATTTATTAAATATTTTACTCTAAGAATATTTAATTTGAATGCAATTTAATAAGAAAAAGTAAAAATAAATAAATGTTTTTTTAGATCATAGCAATGAAAAATGAAAATCACTAATAATAATTTGAAATATGTTTTTATTTTAATTTTAGTTAAGTCATCAAAATGATGTGGCATCTAAATCACCTCATTAAAGCCACACAAGCAAAAAAGTCAAAGGGTTAACCGGTTTAAAAGGTAATAGGTTACCCATTGCTATTATGGGTAGATTTTTTAAAGTACAATGCATTAATAAAAAATAATTTGAAAGTACATTGTTGTAATAAAAGAAAAACAAAAGTAGAATGCTATAATAAGAAAATTTATTAAAATAGGTTGTTATTTCATGCATTTAGCCCTAAATTTACTCCACATTCATCCATCATATTTCATGTTTTTGGAGATAAACAGAAAGAAAAGGGTTTTTTTTTAGGACAATCTCTTTATTTAAGATAAATGAAATATATATTTGTTTTACTTTTTTCCTTTAGACGAGGATGGATCTATGAATTAATGGGTATGGTTTAGTATATATATATATATATTCAACTGATTTTCGTAAATAAATTTCTTATAGGATGTAAAAGATGCAGCTGTTAAACTTTAAGCAGTGTTCCGGGATATTAGATATACAAGAAACATCAACAAAAAAAAACTAAAAAAATCATTTAAAAAAACAAAAAAACTTGAAAAAAACAAAGAATTTCAAAAATTATTGAAACATATTTGATCACACCCGATAAACAAAAATATAGATAGGCTAATGTCTTTGGGGGTTATTTATGTGAGATTTATATGTTTTATTTGCTTATAAAATTATTTTATGTAAGATTAAATTGATGATATCAAAAAATAGAGTAGATTATACTATTGGTCCTTGTAGTTACCTCTCTTTTCTATTTTAAACATATTACTGTCCATTTTGTTCCGAATTTGATCATTATGTTGACATTTTGTTTCGGATTTGATCATTGTAGTTGTCACTTTGTTTCAGATTTGGTCCTTTTGACTAACTTCCTTCAAAAGAACTCCGTTAAACAGAGGACATTATGGTCTTTTTCTTTTTTTCTTTTTTTATGTTTTTGTTTTGTATTTTTTTTTTTTTGTCTTTCTGATCAATTTTTTTATTTTATAAAATTAACCTCCCACTATCCCCGTACGCCCCCACAGTCCGGTGACTCCGGTCGACTTCTTCGGTGAACTCTCGATGACCCCAAAATAAAAACCCATAAATAAACAAATGAAATACAACCCCAAATCAAATAAACTTTTTTTTTCCTTTAAAAAACAAACACAAAAGATGAATCTTGATCTGTGTTTGTAAGAGTGGTTCAAAACAAACTAAATTAACCCAACAATTAGAATCAAGATCTAACTTAAAGCCTAAAACGAAAAACAAATTTTAAATCAAAATACTTGATTAAAACCCAAATAAAACCTAAATCAAAAATACAAACCAAACCTTAAATCAAAAACTTGATCAAAACCGAAATCACAAAATCGAAACCAATTTTTCTAAACCAACTCAAATCTTATCCACATCTTCAAAACCAAATTTGGGTTCTTCTACCAGATCCATATCTTCGAAGCAATGTGAAGAGGTAGATGTTCAAACAAACCATATTTGAGGACCAGATCTAGGTTCACTGTCGCCAACACTCTCTAAAACCCTTCCCTCTTCGAAACTTCGACCTTGCAACTCCACAAATCTGAAACCAGATCTGAGAATGAGAAAAAACCTAAAACAAAAAACATGTTCTTCGGTGGTTGTGGCGGCAGCGAAAGGTAGAAGAAAAGGCGAAAGGGAGATGACCATGAAGGAGAGAGAGGGTGGTCGTGTTCTCGTGGTGAGTTTTTCCAACATAGATTCGACGAAAGCTGTGGAGCATGGTCATGTCAGGGGAGGCCGGAGGTGAGAGCATAGAAGGGCGAGAGTGAGAGTGGGGGTCGCCTAGAGAAGAAGAAAAAAGAAGAAGAAGAAGAAGAAGAAGGCGAGTGGTCGGAGATGTAAAGAGGGTCACATGAGGGTTAACGGAAAGGAGGTTTTGCAGGTGGTCAGCGACCGACGGGGTCTTGGGGTGAATGGTGGTACTTCGAGGAAGACGTCGTGATTCAAGGGGTAGAGGACCAGTGATACTTCAAAGAAGACGACGTGATCTTGATATGTGGTATAAATAGATGTGTTCTATCTCCATGCAGAGATATCTTTTACTCTTGAACCCTAACTCTTACGTTTATACGTGAAAGAACACACATCTAAAGAATACAATACGCTTATCTTCAAAAGTAAGTTAGAATCCCTTTTAAGAATTCTAAATAGTTCTTACTCAGAAAGAACTTACTTTCTTCTAAGTCTTAAACAATAAATCATTTCTCTTTGCTAAGAACTTATGTGTAACTTAGATTGTTTAGATAGGTTATCTTTACCTTATCTTTTTCGCAAACAATCTTGTAAAATCTGTATTGATCCTTCTTTATCAATATATATTTTAAATTTGAAAAATTTATTGTGTTTGTATTCATTTCCCCCTTCTACAAACTGTTATACACATCTTGTAGACCCTAACAGGACCAACATATATTTTTTATCGTTTGGTTAAAATTGGTTTTGATTCCAACCCACGACTATAGATTTCAAAGACATATTTCTTTTTCCAATCTACCATTTTCCTACCAACATAGAATAATCAAAACACACCACATTTCAATATTTGAGAATACTCAATTCTTGTAATGTCACCTTACA